AAAAGGATCGGATGCAGTTTCAAGACTGAAACTAACACTGTATGGAGAACTCTACTAATTGTTTCACCAGATCTTACTGTTTGACGTTTAAAACTCTAATCTTAATATGGTGGGATATAATATGAAGGAAAGTAATAACCATTTCTTCTATAGACATATATCTACTCTCTTTTAATCCACCTTGACTTTGTAATAGGTGACATAATTTGAGAAATGCTCTCCTATCCATTCGACAATTATCAACACTTTGTCGATCACTTTCAAATACAATTTTATGTAAATTAAGTGATCTAATATTATGTCTATGAAGTCTTTCATGTGCATAAGTTATTTTAGGATGATTTTTATATTTTCTAAGAATAACTGAAATAACCATAAGCATATGACACACAATCTCCATCATTTGCAGTTGTAAAATAAGAATTATGGTGATATGCGTCTTCTTTCGCATTGGTAAACGAGCCATAACCGTTATTATGAACAAACATATTAATATTAGAAAATAATAATATTTAACAAGAACAATTGTTTGTCATGACAATAAAAATAATTGAACACTAATTTAACAGTTCCATAAACAAAGCATGCTTAAACACCGATGACGGGTTTCATATTAATACCTTAATTTTTTATTAAAACGATACAGCTGCATCACAAGGCATAGTTAGTAAAATTATTTTACTTAATACTGACATTGTTTGCTTGGTAGAAACTAGCATTCTAATTAACCATTCACCTTTCGAGTGTATATACTTGTTGAGGGCGATCGTCTTTTTAAAGGCATCACATTTAAAGATATGAAGCAAACCTCACAAAGCAAAGGATACGTATGTGATCTTTAGCAGGTTGAGGGAGAAGATTTTTAATTTTTCATTGCGTTTTATTCCGACGAGATCGGAACTTTCTTCCCAGAATCCCTTCAAAACCAGCATGCAACTGCTGCAACAGCTATTTTAAATGCTAAAGTGTCTCTGCCAAATGGCCACCTTTATTTGATCTTGCTAAATTTAGCATCATTCATGGGTGTAGTTTCAAACTTTTTGCTTCTGAAGTTCCAAAAGGAAAAATGTTGCAAGTTTAAGATAAATTCCTATTGAAGATTTAGTCATAGAGTAATATGGTGGTTGATAGTACATCCCTCTAAATACTGGTGGAAAGAAAGGTGTTTATGAAGGAACTCGAACTTATGGTGACCATAGAACATGTATGAAGGAGACTTTTATTAATAATTCTGAAACTAAACAAGAAAGTCCTAGTATGACTGAAATATATTCTGGAACTGAAGTGGAGCCTTTGTTGAAAGGGAGACCAATAATTTTTTATGGAAATAGTAGTACTACTGCTCTTATGATACTCCTAAAGAAATCTTGGTATCTGATCGATCTGCTATTTGCTGGAGTGTCATATCCTTTGAAAAGTATTAGATATATATTGGACAACTAATATTATTAGTTTACAGGGTTAAGTCTAAGGTTAAGAATAAAACTTTATTTGTAATAAGGTCTAGTAGCTTTGCTTGCAAGAAAGAAGGCCTATATAAATAAGTTTAGGCTTTACAGCCAAAACAATTATTCCTAACATATTATTATCTTTGAATCGATAGTAGAAACTGGAGGTTCTTATAACCCTATTTTTCCTAGAGTTCCATCTTATTTCCTAATCGTTTGTCCTGTCCTAGTCCTATTAATTCACTGCGGTTTTCCCTTTTTAACAACATCAATGTCGTGGAGGTTAGAAATTGTCAATAGTTTCAATGGTCAAGTGACCTCACTACTCAATAGAGATAGATATCAAAGGAACTCACTTAGGTGCACAAGACCATAGGAAAGCAAACAATGGTCCACCTTCATAACCAAATATCAAATTTCTTTTAATTTATATTTTAAAAGATCTTACTAAAATGTTTGGAGAATGAACACGTGCTGCAAAAAAAACTGCAGTTGAGGTTAGCCAAACAAAATAAAATTTTTACCCAACTTTCCACAATAAATGGAAGAAAAGGACAACCACCTATACATCTTCCCAGATTCAGTAAGAGAGGGTTTTAGACCCTCCCTTTCCAATTGAGTAACCCAAGTGGCAACCAACATATTTTGCAAAGTTCAATTCCTTCTTCATCTGTACGTATTTTTATGGAAATAGATTCCTTTGAAAATAAGATTAATTCACCCAGGTATTAACCTTTGTTTCATCTTTAAATTTCTAATTTCCCAGACTATACCAAAAGAAAACCAGAATTCACTTATCAACTCCTCAACTAAAGTTCTTAAAAGGTCATAATTAATAATCACATCAATTACGACTTAAATTCATAAACGTTCTTCAGCTACTCTTGAAAAACTAGACATCAACTATTTTACATTTCAGTACCATGTAGAGATGTCAAGCTGCCATTAGTTTCTTATGTGATTTAGCCCTATACATTAGCAAAAAGATCACAAAAGGTACTGCAGAACCAGAATATGATGACCAGAGATGCTGTGAGATTTACGCACTAGCCTTTCAAAAAAAAAGCTGATTTGGATGTGGAAGAAACTAAAATCAAAATTAATGTATACATCGGTTATAATCGAATTCCATGGATGCCTAAAAACCTAGCTTCTTAAGCAATCAAACGAAACAAGAAAAAAACCTAAACAAAAAATATGTTGGAAAAAAGGGAATTGAGGATCAAAGAAAGCATCAAACAACGTGGCGAGTAATTTAACAACAGAAGGAAGCAAGGAAAAAGAAAGTACCAAATAGCGAATAGAGGGGTGGGCGGTGGAACTTGGCAGAAACGAAGATGATAAGAGATTTCATTGATGAAATCCAAGGCTTGGGAGAAGAAGCAAAGGCAAACGGACGAGAAAAGAGGGAAACAATACCTAAGCAAGGCATGGGATTAACATTCCCGGTAAAAGGGGGGAAATTTTACTGTTGGTAATTTTTTATTACTCCCCTATTGGGAATCTTGCATATCCAAACATGGGTATCTTAATCAGGAAAAAAAATTCCCACTATGAATCCTCAATTCCATGATCCAAACACTCCCCTAAGGGTAAACTATACCTATGACTACTTAACTATTGACCTTTTCTCATTTTGAACACCAATCTTTCAATTTTTTCAATAAGACCACTTAACTATATAAATGATAAAATGTATATGTAATAAGGATTAAATGTGTAATTATATCAACCTTGTCAACTGTCACGTCAACACTTTCGTTAAATATTAACGGTAGAGAATTAATTGACATCATTTAAATTGTTAAGTGGTCATGGGTATAGTTTACCCTAGCTTTAAATTGTTTAAATTATAATGAAAATGTAATTATAGATGAATATAAATTGATATTTAATATTTGTTTAATTTTGTATATAGTAAGAAAAATGGTTTAAAATTCTATTTAGTTTAATTCAATATGAATATGGATACTATTTTTTTTATTTTTTAAATTAACAAAAACAATAAAACATTTTAAAGATATGTAAAAATCATATTATAAAAATTTAAAAGTGACGTTTTATATAAAAAAAAACCAGACAGAAAAAATAAATTCAAATTCTAAAAATATTTTAGATGAAAAATTGAGTTTAATTACCTTTTGTAATTGATATGGAACAATATATTTTAACCAATAAACTTAATAATTGTACTCATATAAATATTGATAAAGTTAATTGCACCACATGTCCTCAAATTATAACTTTCATTTAAAATTAAACTTTTAAATATTTCAATTTCATCCCAAACTATGTTTTTCATTCTAAATTAGTCCTTAAACTCTTGAACATTCTAATTCCATCCCTAAATTGTGTCCCCCTTTCTAAATTAGTCCCCAAACTTTTGAATATTCTAATTTCATCCCCAAATTCATCCAAATATGTAATTAATTTCAACCATAATTTAACCTAATTTTTTTTAAAAATATAGTAATATAACTTGGCCTAACAATTTTATTAACAAGGGGTATGATTAGTATATATGTATAGTTTGGGATGAAATTGGAATGCTTAAAAAGTTTGGAAACTAGTTTAGAATGAAGGTCACAGTTTGGGGATAAAATTGAAATGTTCAGAAGTTTGAGGAATAATTTAGAATTATAGTCATAGTTTAGGGATGAAATTAGAACAGTTAAAAGTTCAGAGACCAATTTAAAATGAGGGTCATACTTTGAGAACATGTTATGCAATTAACTACTATTCATATTATAAATTTTAATAATATATAGTTATTCAATTATAATTTTTTATAAAATATTTTTATAAAATATTTTTATAAAATATTTTTATAATATATATTTATATATTTAAATTATCTTTACATAAAATAATTATAATTAATAAAAAACTAATTTGAAAGTTTTTAATAGACCCTTTATCATTTATTGTATTTTGATTTTTTATTATATTATAAATTATTAAGAAATGTCATCAAACTTATAAGGAAGAAATTTAAATTTAATAAATTAATTTGATAATAGATAAAAATAAAATTTTGTGAACTTGTTTTATCATAAGAAAAAAATTTCCTTTACTATTAAAAATATCAATGGTGTATTCAATATAAATAAATATTACTTTGAAATTTTAATATTTATATGGTATTGAATTGAATGATTTTATTGATTTAAATTAAATTTAGATATTATTAACTAAATTTAGTTTGACTGGTATTATAATTAATACATTATAAAATATAACATGTTTAAATAAACTTAAATTCAAACAATGAGAGTTGGTTTAATAGGTAAGCAGTTTCATATCACTTAGGTAGACTTTGAGTTTGTGGTCTTGTGTATGCAGAAAATCTTCCCTAAGATATTTACCTACAAGAATTAAGTGTGCGATACGAATCGACTCAGATTAATCAGCACGAGACTTTAAAATCGAGAGCTCAACCAAAAAATAAAAAACTTCAAATTCAGGATAAATATAATCCAGCAATTTCAAAGCCCAATAGAAGCATCTAGGGAAGGCTCCCTTTATAAGCCGAAAGCCCATTAGGTTTTCGTTTCCATTTTCTCCTATATAATCATCACTCTCCGTTTTCATCTGTGGCTCTGCATTTCTCAGGTGTTCTAGGTTTTTGCCTGTATCACTTATTACTTCTTATTACTTCTGCACTAATTTCCCCTTTCCTCTATTGTTTAGAGAACAGTTTTTGTTATCCAATTACTTGCGTAGTTATTTTTCTTTGTTATGTATCGTTTTTGCTTACTTTGTTTCACATGTTGATGTATATTTAGTTTTGCTATGATTTTCCGGTTTTCGAGTTTAAGGTAGAGTTAAATTTAAGCTTGTAGTTTAAGTTTCTCTTCTGGTTTAGCTAGTTTTTATGGTTTTCAGCTTGATTTTGTTATGTTATGTCGCTTGCCTGTTTTTAGAACTGTGTGTTGATGTTTCTAATAGCCTTTGTTGTTCTTTTTCTTATCTGGGATTCTTATTCGGTGCAATTATTCACAAGATTAATCATGTATTTCCTCTAATCCTAGGGCTTAGGTGCTAATATCCTTTGTTTTTATTTTTCTGATCTGGGATTCTTATTCAGTGCAATCATTCAATGGATTAATTCTGTATTTGTTTAACGGCTAGGGCTTAGGTTCAAATTTTTAAATCTTGCAACCTGATTTTCTTCATGCTTTCGTGCTTTCTCAAATCAGTACGTTTGGAAATGCTAGCATGATTGGTATAAAGCTGAAATAGGCCAAAAGAAATATTTTCCTGGTATCTTTGATACCTGCTATGCTTTCTATTTACTTCTTCCCAAACTTGATATGTACCATGTATGAGAAAATCAATTCGATGTGTTGCATTTTTTTTTTGCAAAATGCCAAAATCCTGATTTGTCCACTTATATCTTAAAACTTTGAATTGAAATGAAATAAATAATGTGTAAATGAAGGCAGGTCAGTTTGGAAATGCTTTAATGATGAAGTAGGTTTAGGTGTCATTTTTTGTTCCTGTCATGTGGTGCAATTTAATGTGAGCTAACATTCTTTTTATTGTGCTGTTCTAACTGCTTGTCGTTTGATCAGATTGTTGGTTATGCCAGCTTGAATTGTAGATCTGGTGAACAAAGATGGCAAAGAAGAAGAATCCCCTAGTTTTTATGGACGTGTCAATAGATGGTGATCCTGTTGAAAGAATGGTTTTTGAGGTATTGTTTTGAGCGAGATAAGAAATCCAACCACCTTTAATAATTTTTTGTTTTATTCTTTCCCTGTGTATTTTGTTTTGAATTACTAAACATAGTTTTGTTTTTGGAGATCATTTTTCCCTTATATTTATTTGTTTCTTTCATTCTTCAGCTCTTTTCTGATATTGCTCCCAAGACTACAGAAAATTTCCGTGCCCTTTGTACAGGTGGTTATAAATGTGTTCCGATATTCTAATTTCCTACAGTTATGATATTTCTTATGCAACTCATTTTTGCATTTGATTTCACGTTGGAAAAAAATATTGTATTAAGAATAAATCTTCATCTTGACCCTTGAGTTTTGTTGTTTATGATTTTTTTTATTCAATTTGAAGCAGGAATTGCTGGTTTGGGGCAAGATAATTTCTGGGTTATAATTGTTTACCATATAGATGCATACATGCAAATATTGATGCATGTATATTTATATGTTTGTATTTTTCTGAGATTTTCAAGATATCTTGATCTACAGGAGAAAAGGGAATTGGTCCTAAAACTGGAAAACCGCTGCACTACAAGGGTTCCTTTTTCCATCGTGTCATTAAAGGTTCCTTGGCCCAGGTTTGTTGTTTTGTCTTACTTCAAATTGGGATTTTTCTCTTGCTGTTTTCTTGTTGAACATCTCTTAGAAGTGGTATATTGTTTGGTCTGTTACTATTGTTTATTCTGTAGGAAACAGGGCTGATGGTCACGACTGCTTTTCTTGTGATGTAGTGTTTAAGGTTGTATTTACCAAGTTGTGAATCCTCAGAATTTTACAAAACATCACCGTGTCCAACCTAGTTTTTTGCACATAAATGCCTTTCTTTTTTCATACCTGTGGACTGAAGTGTTTTGTTTTTGTGCAGGGTGGTGATTTTGTAAGAAGGGATGGTATGTTGTATTCCTTACAGAACTTCTATTTTTATTATTTTTGCGTCTGTTAATTGTTACTTGAGATAAGATCACTTTGAGAGAGCAGTCTATGTAGCTGCTGGTTGAAGTCGCTCTTGAAAACCACATTTGATATTTTATTTGTTTTCTTTTTTCAGGAACTAGTGGGGAAAGCATATATGATGGGAAGTTTCCAGGTGAATTATCTCTTCCCAACCTTTTGTAGTTACAATCATAGTTTAGGAAATGAATAGAGAAGAGGTGTAAGATTTTCCTTTTGTTTAATATTTTAAAAATTAAATCATTTTGTTATGCACATGCTTTTTCTGTTCGTAATTACTCTTTGTTCATGAAATAATATTCTAATTAGAATATAATCGTTTACATGATGGAAGTGCTCTTACATGCTAATATACGCAGTATTGTACTCTCCATAAGTGGTCAAAATTTCTAATTTGATTTTCAATTTATAATTGTTCTCTAATATATGTGTTTAATGTTTGTTCTTATATTCTCTTTGGAACCGGTCAAAGTTTCAAATCTCTATTTTCAATTTTTTGTTTCTTGCTATATAGTATTGAATTTATCAATTTGCTTTCGGAGCTAATTTGAGGTTTGGTATTAGGGTTATTTGTACCAGGATGAACACTGTATTAAGGTATTTCCTTGGCTTTAAATTTGGGCATAATTGCCTCTTGAAATGTTTTCTGAGAGAGCATATACATTCTCATAATCTTTGCTAAAGTTTATTTTGCATAAGATTGTATAGGTGCTTTTCATCACTCTTGATGTGAGCTTATCTTCTTCTGAAAAGCTTTTTTTTTGACAAGTAATACGCATTTTCCAAATTGCTGTTCAAGTTTTATTTTGCACCATCAATGTTTGTTTTATAGCATTTTTTCTTAATGATCTGTAGATCCTTGAGAAGCAGTTGGTGCTAACATAATGACATGTTGGCTAAATGATTTAAGAACTGCATTATAACTACATTTTATGATATTCGACAAACTATCTAGTGACAGCATTGAAAGAAAGAATATTTACTGTTGGAAATCCATTGATATTACCGATTCCATGCTTACGGTTATTCATCTAGAGTGTGACTGTAGGTTACTATTCTTTTCACTGATAATTGATTAGTAACAAGGGGTAATGTAAACTCTTGTTCAGATGAATCACCTAGGCTGAAGCATGATGGACCTGGTCTTTTATCCATGGCAACTGCTGATCGTGACACTGTTGGTTCACAATTTGTTGTCACCTTCAAGGCTAAACATGACCTTGACAGGTAGTTTCTTATCTTCTTTAAGCATATGTTTTCGGTTCCTCACCTTTCTAATATAAGCTTGCACAGTTAAATGTGATTCCATCTTGGATCCTGAGTTTTTGTCCTTGTGGCATGTTGCAGAAAGTATGTTGTTTTTGGACAGCTTGTGCAAGGAATTGAAGTGCTGAAGAAAATTGAAAATGTGGGTGATGAGGAAGGAATACCGACTGTGACAGTGAAAATTATTAATTGTGGTGAATTCAGTGAAGGTAAAGGCTATTATGACTTTATTGGTTGGTTATATTTCTTAATATAGAATATAATTATCTAATCTTTTGTAGACCTGCCAAATTTGCACTTTTATGATGCTGCATGTGGCTTGACCTTCATTCCTTTTTAATTTTGCCTTTCAACTTTTTTTATTTTATCTGCAGACAAGAGGAAAAATAAGTTGAGAATGGGAAAAGATGCTTCTTCTGGTGCTAACAGTTATGAAGCGCGTAGGAAGTGGAAAAATAAGAAATCAAGAGAGAAAAGGAAGAAGAGGAGACACTATTCATCTGATTTGGAGAGCTCTTCAGATTCAGAGACAGAATCATCCGAGTCTGATAGTGATTCTGATTCATATCTCTCATCATCCTCGGATATTAGTTCAAGTGATGATGGGCTCAAGAAGAGGAAGAGATATTCCAAACGAGAAAAACATAGGCGAGGGAAAAGAAGAGATAGACGACGTGACAAAAAGAGAAAACGAAGTGATAAGAGATCAAAGCATAAATTAAGGTTCTTTGCTTATTCTCTTTTTCTTCATAGCAGTGTCTTCTTTTCTGGCAAATTATACCCTTTTAATTCACCTGATTCCTGAGCATGTTTTGTTGATTTTTGTATTTGATCAGCTGTGTATGAAGAGACTCAAATATTTTGGAGATGTAATGGAAATTTTTTTCACCTGTTACTTTTCGTTGGCCTTCTGTGGCATGTGTTAGGAGACTTTCTTTTTCCTTTTTTGATATTTTTTTTATTTGAGTTGCGTATGTAAATTAATAAAATGCATGATTGTAAATATGATGCAAAATTTATTTGTGTATTCCTATACTAGTTTTGAAATTTAGTTGTCACTTGTTTCTTTGTTGAAGTAGGTGCATGCATGTTTTCTCATATGCTTGGTGATTTATTGACAAATTGTCATGGTTTTTGCCCCCTGTAATTAATTTTGCAAATGTATCTTGTGGTATTTTCTGAAACCTTTTGCAATCCATGTATGAAAAAATGATTAAAATGCTTCAAGGTCATGGATAAGCTGATTAGTTATTAAGCATCTTATAGAACTTAAAATTATTGCATCTTTCTTGGTTTCAGGGCTTCTGATAGCCTTACAGATGAGGACAGCAAAACTAGCAGCGAAAGCAGCACTGACAATGATGTTCAAGGAAAACCACAGAAGCATAAAGAGCCTTCTCAGAAAAGTGGTAAGAGTTGAAGTTCTTGACATGGTCATGAATACGTTGTACCTGTCGTTCTAAATTATTCCTTCCCTTTTTCCCTTGATGTTGCTATTAATTCATATGCAAATTACATGCCCTTCATTCTACATTATTCTGCCTCACCAATCTCCCTGTTATGCTATCATATTAGAGTTGTGGAATCTGGATATTGTTGTTTTCTGCTTCCAATTTTTTTTGCTTTGTTTACTAAAGCCTTCTGATCTGGATAGTTCTCTTTGTTTTTAAAGTTTTTGATTTTTACTACACTATTAATAAGGTTGACTATGTTTTGCAGTTCGGAGCCAATCCCCTTCGGCTACAGAGAAAGCAATTCCTCACGGAAAGATAAAAGAGGCTGATTTTCTTGTGAAGGAACGTGAAGCTCCTAAGGTGAATGGAGAGCGAAAGAGCAATGGCATTGAAGAAGAAGCTAAATCTGAAAGCAGTGCACAGAGACAACCTGACGTGGTAGATGATCGCCCAAGCAAATCTAGGTCTACTTTCCCTTCTCCTTCAGTTATACTTTATACTGACTGGTTGTTCCCAATCTGGTATTTTATATAAAGTTGATGAGCAGGAGCAGAGGCAGAAGTCCTAGAAGGTCCATGAGTAAGAGTACGAGTCCCAGGAGTCAAAGCCGGAGCCCAAGTTGTAGCCCGAGGCGGACTGTGAGCAGGAGTCCAGGTGTGAGTAGGAATCCCGCACGTTTTCCAGAAAGAAGTGTAAGTAGGACTCCTGTTAGAAGCGTAAGCAAAAGTCCATTGAGGGCTAGAAAGAACAGAAGCAGTAGGAGCCCAGTTAGAGGAAATTCTCGAAAAAGCATTAGTAAAAGCCCTGTAAGGTCTCGTTCTCGAAGAAGCTCAAGTAGGAGCCCACCTAGGTCAACAAGAAAATCAATTAGTAGAAGCCCTGTTAGACTTCCAAAAAGAAGCATTAGCAGAAGTCCCATAAGATCTAGGAGAAGCATTAGCAGAAGCCCCGTAAGATCTAGGAGAAGCATTAGCAGAAGCCCGAGAAGCATAAGTAGGTGCACTGCTAGGGCTCCTCCTAAGAGAAGTATCAGCAGAAGTCCATTAAGGGAACCAAGAAGGAATTACCGTCGTAGTTATTCAAGGAGCCCATCCCCTGTTAGACGGGTAATGTCACCACCTGATCAAGGTAGAAGTATATCAAGAAGTGCTTCCCCTGATGCATCACCTAAGCGTATTAGAAGGGGCCGGGGTTTCAGTGAGCGGTACTCCTATGCACGAAGATACAGAACCCCTTCTCCGGATCATTCTCCTGTTAGGTCTCATCGTTATGAAGGCAGGATTGATCGTGAGAGGTACACATCCCATCAGGTTCTTTTTAAGTTATCCGACCCTCATTTTTTCTTGGTAAACCTTTGTAGTTTAACAATATGTCGTTTATCTAATTGCCAATTCTAGGTATTCAAGCTACAGGAGGTATTCACCCAGGCGTTATAGAAGCCCACCAAGAGGACGAACTCCTCCAAGGTCTGATATGCTGTATACCAAGTATCTCTTCTATCTTCCTAAACGTTTTTCATTGAGTGGTTTGATTACTTGATTCCTAATAAAAATATGTTTTTCAGGTATAGAGGCAGAAGAAGCCGGACAAGGAGTCCATCTGTATCCCCTAACCCAAGGCATCGAAATCGTCGATATGCTCATAGCCGCGGCCGTAGCCCAAGTCGAAGTCGGACCCCTATTCGCAGACGTACACCAGTTGATTCTCCAAAAGCTGGAAGGCGAAGGTCAACTTCTCAGAGCAGGAGCCGATCAAGATCAAGGTCCTCATTGAAGTCTCCGTCTCCAAAGCAGGCGAACAAAGCTAAGTCAAGGTCATCTTCTGGAAGTCCTGATGGTAGAAAGGGCCTGGTTTCATACGATGATGGTTCACCTAGCTCAGGAAGATGAATTTGGGTGAAATTTTGGGGAAGATTTTGGTGTCAAGTGTCTGATGAGCCCCATCTTGTATTTGATGCACTGGACTTGCAGCCAGCTTTAGGTACTTGTTGTCTCTCTGTGTTGTTTGTCAGGGGTTGTGGTTAGTAATTACATTACCTAATCCTATTTTAAGTATTTTGGTTGAGGTTGCAGCATTATTATGCTCTTAGATTCTACATTTTTAATTAAAACATTTGAAGAAAATTTAGTTATAATTGATGAGCTTCGGAATGAATCTTGCCTGGAAATATAATCAATATATCTTCGTTAACAGCAGCTTATATTATCTAAATATTTGTCCGGATTTGCGTTTTCAATCATTGTAAATAGAGGAGAGGATATTTTTCTTCCTAAAAGATGTGGATTCAAGTAGTTGTATCAATATAATAAAAAATATATTATAATTATTTTAAATTATTCAAAATTGAAAAAAAAAATCTTTTGATGACCTTACACTTTATCTAAATATAATTAATTATATTTTATCAATTTCAAATAATATTTCAAAACATCATGTCAAGGGTTTGATCAATGGTTCTATGTAGAGCACTTTCAGATGCTATATTGATATCTTATCTTAGAATTTTATTATGTTATACATATTTGCTCGTAATATTGTGGAGTACATATTTGTATAGCGTTTGAGACAAAAATTTATAAATTGAAATAAAAACTTATTAAGTATTTAAATAAAATATTTGCTAATAATATTATTGTCTAATATTAAAATATATAAGTGTTAGGATAAATTATTCATTTGATTATCCAATTATTATCATCTTTTTAATTTTGATCACTGGATTATTTAAAAAAAATTGATTACTAACATCATATATATATATATATATATATATAAAATAGAATCATGTTACACAATGTAAAACTCTTTTAGTAAAACTATTTTAGTTTTATACAGATTTAGGACCATTGGATGAGTGAAATAAATGATTGAGATTAACGGTAGAAAATGAGAATATATTTATTGGAAAAAATAATAATGAGTCAATTTTAATAATTTATTTTCACTTATCCAACAATCTTAAATCTATATAAATTAAAGAGTTTTATCATGTGTAAGTAGATTCTAACCTTATATATATATATATATATATATATATATATATATATATATATATATATATATATATATATAGAGAGAGAGAGAGAGAGAGAGAGAGAGAGGAGCTGTCATATTCTACAACAATAGATTTTATTGAAATGAACATAGTTTGTTAGTGTATTTTAAGTTTTCAGCAATGCCGTAACTCATAACCAACACGGAATCCAAATGGACAAATGTAAACACCAGAATCCTATCCCAATACATTTCTTTTAAATAATAATAATAATAAAAAAAAAGAGATTGCAATCATTGGATTCAATAGTTTGTTGAAATTCTGTATTAATCGGATGGACCGGCAATTTTGATGTGATAGTGGCATGAACTGCAAACTTCTTTCAGTCTCGGGAATTTCTTGCTTTAGCTTTTATTGAACTTGTTTGAAAAATCCCTCATTATAACGTATGCAAACAGATACCGATCTAATATTTTATATTAAGAGAAATGAAATTTTAGAATTTTAGGAGTAGATAAATTTATTGAATTTTAAAATAGACAAAATTGATTATCAATAAAAGATATAATTTTTTAAAAATAATAATTTTAAATTTTTAGAGAGGTCGATCGTTTATAATTGTCCCTTTCGATCCATTATATGAAGTTATGATGCAATACTAAAAGATGTAAGAAAATACGAGGCTATCTTCTTCTTACGTGGGGCTTTGAATCTGAACTATTAGATATGTCACTTTGGATACATGTAATTGTCTTGTTGGTCGGCGATCCTATACCAAAGAAAATGTTAGGGTTCCTAGACAATATTATCTTATTAATTTTGAAAATCATCTTAATATAAAAGGATATTATGTAATAATTTTCCCCCAAAAATACACTTTCATTAAACTTGAATATTTTTTTCACGGATTTCTCTTAAAAAAATCATTGTCTTGCTTTTATAAAAATAATATTCTTATTAATTTTGAAAATCATTTGAATAAAATAGTATTATTTCGTACAAACAATAATCGGAAATGCACATCCATTAAATTTAAAGACTTTTCCACGAATTTCTCTTACAAAAGATGATTGTCTCGATTTATTGGTGTAAAATATTTAGAATATATAAATATACTTAATACATAAAAATATACATATAATATATATTTATAAATATCAATACTACATATAATATTTAAAGCTATACATATATATATATATATATATATAAACTTATATTAAAGCTATAATATATAAATACAAATACAATATATTAAGAATATAAATGCATAGGATAATATTATACTAATTTGGACTAAAATAAAAATATGATAACTTTTAAATGAATATGCAAGGATCTAAATGAATAAATAGCAGAAAATGAGGCCAAAATAACAAAAAGAAAAACAGAAACAATCACGCAAAGAATAATTTAATTAGGCAACATACACACATGACCAAAATGCAATAAACATCAACATACAAGCCCAAATTCGAATAACACAAAATAAGTAAATACAGCTTCAACAAGACTAACATGCAAGGATATCAAACTTTCTTTATGTATTTGTTATGATTATGAAATTAGATTTTATACATATGCTAGTTGATTTTTATTTTATTTTTATTTTTAAAATTTTAGGAATAATTGAAGGTTTTATTATTTGATAAATGAGATTAAGTGAATTATTTTAAAATACAATCTAATTAAACAGTTCTATTAACTTATCAAGTTTGCCTATATTAATTATTAATATAATATTTCTTCAAATGTGAATTTGATTTCATAATCATGTTCTTTTCATCTCATAGTTAGATAATATAAAATATTTGAGAACAATACAAAAAATACTTAAAAGCATAATATAAAGGAAATAATACGAATGTAATATAAATATGTGATATAAAATAATACTCAGTTATAACATGTAAAAAAAAGAATAATTCTTAGGTGAATTTTAACCTTATATATATATATATATTTAATGTTGACAAACCTCAATTAACATTACAACCACATGCATCAAATTATTTACAAATTATAGGCAGAGCCCTCTAGCTAGGGCTCTGACTTTATAAAAAATAGAATAAACAACACGTCTAATGCATAAATTATTATTTTTCTCATTTTGATATCTAAAATTTATTCTTTTTAAATCATATCTAGATGTTAGTTTAGGTTTCATTTTGGTACCCCGTTATTAAAAACTTAACGGTGATGTTAACGTGTCATCATAAGATAATGTCATGTCTTCATTGAAAAATAAAAATAATACCACGTTGCAATTCTGTTAATTTTTTTACGGTGGGGTACCAAATTAAAACCTAAACTAAAAGTTATGTATGATTTGAAAAAAGTAAAGTTTAGGTGCCTAAATAAAACCAAAGTAATAATTTAGGTACTAAAGATATATTTTACCCTAAAAACAACGTACCATTGACTTTATTTAATTATTATTTTTTATAAATTATAAATCTAATGCTAATACTACTTAGGGAAGACGGGAAGGGTACACTAGTGAAAGGAAGGAAAATGCTTCTAATGAGTCTAAAACTTATGATCCAAAAGAATATGAGAGCTTAACCAATCGATTAAATAAAAATAAAATAAAATTTTTAACCTTTCTATACTTAACAAAGTTAGGTGGATAATTATATATATATATATTTGTATGAATTAAAATATGAAAACTTGTCCAATAGTATCACATGTGCCATGACATCAAGTCAATCATTTCCCAATATGTTTCAATGTAATTTAATTACACATAACAACTTGTATTTCATTTATTATATAATTCACGATTATCGTGTGTCTTTAGATTCCGACTGATGTGCTTAAATTTTCAAAACAACTTAATTACTATTTCAATGCCTTTCCACGGTTTTACATCCACTAGATTAGTTAATTTTAATCAAGTCAATATATATAGCAGATAAACGTACTCAAATTATGAATATACACGTTTAGTCGGTTAATCAATCTGCTCATTTTTATATTTTCGTATTTTTTAAGTCACGGGTTTTAGACCAAATATGAGTATTTCCCTTCCTTCCATAAAATCTCCTTTTTCTCTCCCTTCCATAAAATCTCTTTTTTCTCCCCTTCCAAGTAAGATTAGAATTAAATTTATAATAACATACTTAAATTATCACCTAAATTTTATAGTATTATTAAATTATTAAGTGATCTCAGTAATTATAGGAATTGATGATATATTTGATCATTTAATACGTCACAAAATGAGATAAAAATTTGTTGCCATGCATGGATACGAACCCAAGCACAACTATTGACATTTTAAATTTTAACTATGACAAGAATTATAATATTAATTTAATACATTTTAATATAATATTAATTATTATATTTTAATCAGAACAACTTGGTTTGATCTACCTTAGGGGTGAGTTCAAATAACATTAATCGATATATTTTAAAGAAATATTTACAAAAAAATTTAAATTTTTAGTTGTCTCTTCAATAATTTATTGATCAAGTAGTTAAAAGTTCTTCATTGACATTTTCTATCTATCCTAGGTTGTAGGTTTAATACCCGTCAGGAACAAAATTTGTCTTCTCTCCCCTCTAGGTAGAAATTGTTTAAAAAAAATAAAAAATCATTGATGCTATGAAAGACCTTTTGAGAGAAAATTTTAGGTATATTAACGATACAAGAAATATACATATATACATTACAAGCATCGAAACTTATTAAGTGTCTTTAGTGGTAAAAAGAAGTATTGATTTCTACAGTAATTTTGTATTTGAAGTACCGTTATCTTTACAGAATGTGTATGCATTGTTAATTTAATAAGTATCTCAAGTGAATTAGTATCTTATTAACCCATGACATCAATTTAATTAAAAAAATTAAATAATATTGGGTGAAACATTGGAATTAACTACTAAAATGAAAGATAAATTTATTTTTTAGAAGACTTTTACGTACGGTTTATATGGTGGAATTAGCAGGGAAAAATAATGTTAAGCCGACTGCTTTGCGTTGGCCTTCACATCATTAGCCCATGCAAAGACAAAACGTGGGAGATTAAATAGTTGAAAATATTATTTTACTTTTGAAATT